TCCAGGACAGGCTACAAAGCTTCAGAGAGAAACCCTGTATTTGAAAAACAGTGGCTCACGCCTTTAATCCCAGCACTTGGGAGGCAGAGGCAACAGATCTCGGTGAGTTTGAGGCCAGCCTGGTCTACAAGAGCTAGTTCCAGGACAGGCTCCAAAGCTACAGAGAAACCCTGTCTCAAAAACAAAACAAAACAAAAAAACCCAACAAACAAACCAAAAAAAAAAAAACCACAAACCAATAGACAAACAAATAAAACCCACAAAGAAAGGAAAGAAAAGCAAGATGGTCACAGCATTAGAAAGGTTGAGAACCAGTGCTTAAAGGGAGGCTCAAATGAGCAGGGGACCTGAGGCAGAAAGCTTGTCAGTGAAGGAGATTAGGTGTCAGAGGCAAGTAAGGACAGTGGGTTCAGGTAGACACCTCAGTCAGCAACAGAGAGGTCCTCTCCCTCCCCTCTCATTTCCTCCTCTCTTCTTTCTCTTCCCTCCTCTCCCCCCTTTAACTCCCCTTTCTTTCCCTCCCCCATTCCTCTCCATCTCCCTTTCTCTCCTCTTCTGAGACAGTTTCACGAACACCCTGCTAGCTCGAGGAGGGCTTCATCAGCCCCGCACTCAGAGTGTGACTAGGGTCACACCTCAGATCAGGTGCTGGAAGCACTAATGAAAGAGGGTGAAGAGGATCCCCAAGTCTGAACAGGAAGGAGGTAAATAGGACTAAGAGATTGGAGGAGATTTTGGCTTTAGACTTCCAGGAAGAGCTGACTGCCTAAGGGTGGGAGAACACAGGGTGGTGGAGGTGAACCTGGAGGAGGACACAGAACGCTGGCTCGCCGGGATGGGGGCCTACAGTGTTCTGTCAGGACGACATGGATCACAGATAGCAGGACCTAGACACTCGTTTCCAATGCACTGAAGGGCTTCCCCACCTTTGATGCCTGTCCCTTGCCTGCCATAACTGCCCATTCTGAGACAGAGCCTCAGGGAGTTCTAGGAGTTCTTGGCAGCTTCCCAGAATGCCCTCCTCACCTGTCCTTTAGTGCCTGTGCGACTTGGGTTTCTCAACAACACAAACTAGAGTCTCCTGGAAGGAGGGGCACTCGTTTGAGAAAATGCCTCCATCAGATAGATGGGCATATGGGCAAGTCTAGGAGGGCGTTTTTCTGAATAGTGATTGATGCAGGAGGCAGCAGCCCACTGTGGGCGGCGCTATCCCCAGGCAGATCCCCAGACTGTGCAAAGCCTTGGGAGCAAGCCAGTAAGCAGCACCCCCTCCAAGTCTCTGCTTCAGTTCCTGCCTCCAGGTTTCTGTCATCAGCTGCTACCCGACCGCCCTCGGATCTTTGATCTTAAGACTGTAACCTGTACTCCAAATACACCCTTTCCTCCTGTTTTTATCACAGACTAAAACAGAAAACCAGCCAGCCCTACCTTTCCCACGAGTGACATTTGGGATGCTTGGGACTCATGGAACTTTCAGTTAACTACCAAGTTCCTTCTGTGTAACAGGTGTTGTGTTGGCATCGGGGATAGTGTCAGAAAAGGGTCCTCGCCTTTGAAGACTTCACAGGCTGGTGGGGATGACAGACCAACACCCCAAACGCAAACACCCCTGCTGAGGTCTTCCTGCCTCCCTCCCTGCCTCCCTCCCTCCGTCTTCCTTCCTCCCTTTTCATCAGATACAGTTTCCTATAGCCCAGATGGGCCTCATCTTATGTAGCCAGAGTGACCTTTGACCTCTGATCCCCTGTTCTCATTCCCTGAGTCCTTAATTCTCTCTCTCTCTCTCTCTCTCTCTCTCTCTCTCTCTCCCTCCTTCCCTTCCTCCCTCCCCTCCCACAAGGTTCTCACTACACAGGTCAGATGTGCCTGGAATTTGGGAATTCATGATCCTCCTACCTCAACGTCGCTAGGGATGAACTCACACACTCAGCCCTGCTGTGGTTTTCAGAGATGCTCACATCACCTCCCAGTCCGTCTGAACTAAACATGTCCATTGTCCACCAAGAGAATTTCCTCAATATGACTCCATATCCAAACACAGCGGTGTTCTACGTCATCTCAGAAACTGGGAGGCTGAGGCAGGAGGATCTTCAATTCATGTCTAGTCTGGGCTACAAAGCACAAACCTGTCTTAAAAGCATACAAAACCGGGAGCCTAGGAGATTGCCAGGCAGGTAAAGGTGCTTGCTGCTAAGCCTGATAACCTGAGTTTCATCCCTGACCACATGGTAGGAGACAACCAACTCCACCATGTTGTCTGCTGTCCTCCATGGCCCTTCCATGTTCATATGTGCATCACCCACAGTGCCTCTCAAAACAAACAAGCAAACAAAAAATGTGATACAGAAAGCCCAGGGTAGCCTGGCTGATAGAATGCTTAGTGCTTGCCTGGGTTTGAGCCCCAGAAGCGTATGAACTGGGTGTGGCCATGACACCTGCCATCCCAGCACTGGAAAGGCAGGGACAGAAAGGTCAGAAGCTTAAGGTCACGTGGTGAATTCCAGGCTAGGGTGGGCTATGGGATACCTTGCCTCAAAAAACAAAATTGTTCTTGGTGTAGTGGCACATGATTATTGTTCTAAAACTTGGGACACCGAGGCAGGAGGATTAATGAGAGCCTTAAAAGTTTTTGCCTTTAAGATTCCCTTTTAGGGTTCAATTAAAGATGCCATGAATAGCTAGAGGGGTGTTGGAAATTTGAGGGTTAAAATCTGAGGGGTAAGAAATCTACACACAACGGGAATTATCTGTCCATGTTTCTTTATTCTCTCTCAACCCATCACTTCTCATTGTTCCTTCTTGTTCTTCCTTGTTCTGCATTGTTCTTAGTTCTTCATCATTCTTCCTTGTCCTACCTGTTACAAGTGTTCCCAGTCATACATATCCTTAAAACCAGCAATTCCACAGCTCTAGGAGGTTCCAGGGCCGGAATTATTTTGCCCCATAGAAAATCAAATAAGAGCTCTCTCTCTCGTTCTCGCTCTCTCTCATACATACACACACACACACACACACACACACACACACACACACGTGCGCGCTTGCACAGATCCGTGGAAGTGGCTAGTACACATCTGGTGAACTCCTTAATGGAGAAAGTTAGTTAAAGGAATTAAAGCATCAGGGGACTCTAGAGGGGAAGGTTAGCGTGCTACGCTACATTTTTAGGTGGTTAGTAAAGGGCTAAAAACGTTTATTTCCAGTGCGTTACTTTTTCCCTCTCCCGACATGCATAGGTAACCAAGCAAGAAGCTAGAAGCCGTGGCTCTTGGTCAGATAACACGTAGACCAGACACTGCAGTTCCTACAGGCCTACAGGTCTGGAGTGCACACCCAAGTGGTAAAGACAAGAGGGAGAGCCAGGCCTCTAGATTATCAGTTCTGGGGTATACTGTTATCAACTGTTCTGGTCGATCGTGTGTCTGCAGGGCCAGCGGGAAGGAAATTCTTTCTCTGATAGCAGTTAATTATCTCTTCTGCTGTCCTGGAGAGTAAAACAACTGTCAATTTCCTGAACTAAAATCATCAATCAACTGAGGAGGAAGTGCATGTAAGGGGTTAAGAATCTTTTAAGTGGGGTAAAACCAGAAGCATGGGCGGGTAGTAATTCTATGTCCTTGGAGATCTGTGAAAATCTTAAGTGGGATGCTCTGTGCCTGAACCCTAAGCAGCAACCAAAAGCCTGTTGATAAGATAATTGCAGGAAGATAGATCTCTGCGCTTACCTGGGAGAGAGGAAGAAGGCCTGGCAGTGGGAAACTGTTTTCACACATAGGCCAAAGGCATAGAAAACTGTTCTGAACTAGGGAATTAATCCCAAATATGTAACCGAAAAGGAAGTCAGCTACAGCGAAAAACCTACAGCAAAGGACAGCCATTTTATTTACAGAGCAAAAACGCCAAATAGCCTTGCCTTTTGCTTTAGCCTTTACCAGATCCCTTGGTTCTGGAAAGTCGCTCGTGACAAGATGGCTGAGTAATTACTGTATAATGTTGTGGATTATAGCAATGGATCACCATGGATTCGAGTCTAGCCCAGGATATAAAATAAGATCCTGTCTCAAAACAACAACAACAACAACAACAAGAAGCCCTGTAGGGACTGGAGCTATGGCTCGGTGGTTAAGAGCACTGGCTGCCCTTCCAGAGGACCCGAGTTTGATTCCCAGCACCTATATGGTGGCTCACAACCATCCAAACTCTGGTGCCAGACAATCTGACACCCTCTTTGGTCTCTGAGGGTCCTGAATGCATGTGATGCACAAACACACATGTAGGCAAAGCACCAACACACATGAAATAAAAGTAAAAGAAGAAAACTAAACCGCAATAGTAAGAGCTCGAGAAATGGCTCAGCAGTTGAGAGCACTTTGTTGCTATTGCAGAGGACCAGAGTTCAGTTCCCAGGACTCGTGTTGGGTGGCTTTCAAACACCTGAACCTCCAGCTCCAGTGGACACACACACACACACACACACACACACAGAGAGAGAGAGAGAGAGAGAGAGAGAGAGAGAGAGAGAGAGAGTTAAACTCTGTTAGAAAATAATAAAAGCTGGGCAGTGGTGGTGCACATCTTTAATCCCAGCACTCGGGAGGCAGAGGCGCTGTGAGTTCAAGGTCTAGTTCCAGACAGTCAGGGATTGAAACCCTGTCTCAGGAAAAAAAAAACAATAAAAATAAAAATGCAAAAACCCACAGTTAGCTATGGATGTCACCAAACAAGATGTTGCATTTGGGCCACAGGAAAACAAGCAAGTGGGCACAGCATACAATTATCACAGAGTGTTGCTTTAAGAAGATCAGGTGCTGGTGGGAAGGGGCAGTTGCTGGGCCAGCAGCTGGCGGCGTGGGCATGGGTCTCACCAGCTGGCTGCCTCCTGGTAGCTGGAGGGCATGTGTGGGTGCGAATTTTGTCTTGAGAGACTGGGAGAACAGTGGGTGACCAGAGTCCTCTCGAACCTGGAAGGAGAAGACCAGATACTGGGTCCAGGCCCCACTATGTGCAGATTGGAGCCATTTCTGAAGAGGTCCCTGGTGGTCCTCCTTTTCCTGGGCCTGGCAGAGGCCTGTATCCCTCGTAAAGGTGAGGTTTCCACCCACCCCCATCTCTTCTCCGTGGCATCTTAGGACGGGGAGGCCACTGAGGGTGGACTCAATAAGCAGTCCTGAGGTCTACACAGGCCTCCTTGCTTTGGGCTTAGGCAGTCTGTTTTATTTTCCCCCATGGAGAAGGCTGCATGAGTCCTAGGTTGTTGGTCTTAAAGACATCCGTGACTTCATGAGTTTCTAGCTGGCGGCCTTATCCTTGGAGGTACTAGTATCTATGTTAGTCCCAGGTTGGGGGGTTGCCCTTGGGGACATGGATGGCTTCATGAGTTGTAGGTCGGCAGCCCTGCTCTGAAGTTCCTAGTGGCTACATGAGTTCCTTGCTGGTGGCTCGTCCCTGCAGAGGAACATCCTGTCATCTCTATCCTCATGCTCATCAGTGACTTTTGCCCACATGGGGCAGAGACCCACCTGTGTTGGTCAGCCTCTTGTCCCCGTCTTCTCATTGTCATAGAACCCCCTGGACTGCCCTGTGTCACTGCAGAGATCACACTTGTGCCAGTGGAGTCACTAGCCCTCTGGCCAGAGTGCAAGGGAGATGCCAGGCCTTTACCCTGGGTCCCCTGGACTGCCCTGGTCACTGCAGAGATGGAATTGGGGTGGTGCTGAGAGTTCCCAGCCTGGTAGCTGGTCCTTTACGATGTCAGGATGCCTAAGACCCCACAGGAGAGACTCGATTGAGTCTTGTCACGAACAGCACTTTCTCCCCAGCAACTAGACTTGCAGTGCTTTCAAGTTTTAGTTTGCCCTCAATGCTGGGAACAGAGTTGGGGAAAGGCAGGCATAGATCTGTCTTAATGTGATCCTCATGATAAACAGATAACCACATCCCAGTAGGGGCTTTAGGGGAGACTGTTTTGGAAAAGTGACATTTGAGAAGAGACTGCAACAAGAAGCAGGAGCTAGCTGGCTAAGGGGTTAGAGATTATTTCAGGCAGATGGAACTGTGTGTGTGAAGATGTTGGGCTGGAGGATGCGGAGTCACTTCAAGGCTCTGAGAGCAGTCAGTGTGGCAGAAAGATGGCAGATGGGATGAGGCCATGGGGGGGGGGCGAAGGTTCAAGTAAGAACAGAGAGAGTGTGGGAACAGAATATAAAGGTTGTTGGGGTCGTAGGAAGCGTGTGTTTGCTCCTCCTCCTCCTTCTTCCCTTTCCCCTCTTTCCTTCCTCCCTTTCCCCTCTTTCCTTCCTATTCTCCTTCTATTTTAAAAGATATCTATCTATCTATCTATCTATCTATCTATCTATCTATCATCGTCTGTCCGTCCGTCCGTCCATGCCACAGAGTACATGTGAAGTTCAGAAGACAGCTTCTAGGAATTGTTTCTCTCCTTCTACCATGCAAATCCCAGGAACTGAACTTGGATCCTCAGGCTTTGGTGGGGGACAGTACCTTTACCTGCTGAGTCTTCTCGCCTGCCCTTCTTCTGAGTTCTCAGTCTTTTTCTGTCTCTCATGATCCTCAAACATTTAAATGATTCTGGTCAGTTTGTGTCAGAATGTCTCCTAGACTGAGTTTCCCTGAGGTTTCCCCCATAATTAGACCGAGGTTATGCATTTGGGGGAAGAATACACCAAAATCACCCTGTGCCCTCATTGGGGGATATAGCCAAGTGACTGATAACGGTTTGTTTCTTGCCTATGACGTTCTCTCTGACCTCTTGGCTAAGGCTGTTGGGAAACCAGGCTTCTCCACTACCTATTACTGTTTTTCTTCTTGTAACTGGTGAATATATGGGGACATACTGAGAGTATACATATCTACATATCTATTCTTTTGCTTTTCATGTTGGCCAATTAATTTTAGTAGCCATCTGTAGATCTTGCCTTAAGAAGGGATTGCTGGCAGTAGTGGCATACGCCTTTAATCCCAGCATTCGGAAGACAGAGGCAGTGAGTTCTAGGCCAGCCTGGTCTATAGAGGGAGTCTATAGACTGTCCAGGACAGCCAGGACTTCACAGTGAAACCCTGCCTTGAAAAACCAAACAAGGGGGGGGGGAGGGTGTGCTGTAGTGCAGAGATTTTCTATTCTCTTTACCTGTTCTATACACATTAATTAGAATTCCTAAAGTCCTGGAATGAGACCATTGACTCTTTACAATGAACACTGGCAAGTAAAGATAAACAGACAATGGGTTTACAGAGTGACTCACTGTGTCTGATGGGATTTTTATTTTTTTCCTTTTTTATTATTATTTTTCCTTTTTTTCTTAAATTTTGTTTTATTTTGGGGTGCAAGGGCTGAGGGCAGATGCGAAGGGACGGGAAAATGAGTGGGATCAAGATACATGATGTAAAAGACAGACAAATAAGTACATTTTAAAAAGAGAGAAAAAAAGAGATGAACTGGGCTAGCAAGGTGGCTCAGTTCTTAAGAGCCCATACTGATGGCTCCAGAAGACCAACCACCACATGGAATGTTTGTTCACTCCTCTACCAGGAACTCTTTTCCCAATCGACTTTGCCAATATTTATAAAACCCAGCTACCTCCAGTTTATATGTGTCTCCTAAGCCCTAAGCACAGGCTGGAGGATGAACCAAGTGAATGTTGGCTGGGTGATGGAGGCACAAATGGGATATGATGGACAAGCAGATGATAGATGGGCAGTGGATGTATGGAAGGAAGGATGGGTGGGTGTATGGAAGGATGGGTTAATGGATCGTGAATAAGTTTAGGGGTGGTTGAGTAGCTGCAGGGTTGTGTAAGTAGATAAGTGGGTAAGTAGATGGATGGAAGGATCAGTGGATGGATGATGGACACGTATGTGGTGAATGGGTGGGTAGATGTGTACAGTGGATGGGTGGGTGGATAGATAAATGGGCAGATGGGCGGGTGGAGTGTATCAAAGGATAGTGGATGTATTTATGGGTGTATGAGTATAGGGAGAGTTGGTAAAGTAGGTATATGGATGGATGGATCAAAGGATAGATGATGAACAGTGGTTAATGAATGGGTAGATATATGGAGGGATGAATGGATTGGGATGAACACTGGGTAGATTTATGGGTGTATGGGTGTATGGAGGTGTAGAGGGGTAGACAGATGGGTGCAAAGGAAGAATGGGTGGATGGATGATGGGTAGGTGGATGGGTAGAGGAGTGGGTGGGGAATTGATAGGTGGAGGATAGGTATGGGGTGGATAGTTAGGTAGGTGAGTAATAGGCAGATTTATGGAGATGGGTGGGTAGATGAGTGGACTGGAGGGACTTTGATAGAAACTGTATATTAGCTCCAAAACCACGGGAGTTTTGGGTGGTCTTTATTATGGTCATGATCTGAGTCTCACGTCTAATTCTCTCCCTGCACCTGCTGCTTGGCCCCGTCGGGATCCACATGAATGACGCTTTTGCCTCCAGTCGCAATGGAAGAAAAAAGTAAGAACTGTAGCTACTCCATGTCTGTATTCTCATAGGTGGTTTCCCTCAGATACTGTTGGATCTGGAAAACCTTCTGAGAATCCTGGGGAAGAGTGGCTTCAATCTGCCATAAGTCTTGGCTTGAGGCTCATAAAATAACTATTAAATAAAACAACTATTAAAAGTAAGCAGCTGCTAGGCATGATGAGATATGCCTGTAATTCTCCTGGAGGCAGGAGAATTGGGGGTCCAAGGTCATCCTCCGCTACACAGAGAGTGGAAGGCTAGACTGTTTAATAGAAAATAGCTGGACTCTCTCACTTCTGTACCTGCATCTAGTCTGTCATGGTGTGTTGATTTGACCGGCTAGTTAAAATGCATTCTCAACCAGGGAAGGAGTCGGAGTGTTGTGCAAATTCTGATGTAGTCAGGATTCTCCAGAGACCCAGAAAGAACGGACCAGAGAGAATAAACAGAACATAACGAAATGGAAGTAGATTAGAATAAAAATATAACAGAAGTAAGTTAGTACCAAGTAGCTGTTTAATCCCAGCACTCAGGAGATGGAGGCGAGTGGATCTCTGTTAGATCAAGGCCAGCCTAGTCCACATAGTGAGCTCCAAACTTTACATAGGTTCCAGGCATCAAACTCAAGGAAAAGAAAGAAATAAAATATAATAAGATAATATAATATAGAGCAGGAAATAGAAAATAAAAATAAGATAGAAATAGAAACAGAATAGAACAGACTAGGATAACCTATGATACGATATAGAATGGAATGGAATGACTATGCAGGGGTGAAGGGACTTATTTGGGGCTATTAGCTCACTTGATGATGGAGATGGGTGAAGGTGCACAACAGAACATCCCAAGCAGTTGGATGTGGTGGCACGTGCCTTTAATCCCAGCACTCCGGAGTCAGAGGCAGGTGAATCTCTCTGAGTTAGAGGCCATCTTGGTCTACAAAGTGAGTTCCAGGACAAGTTCCAAAGCTACACAGTGAAACCCTGTCTTGAAAAACAATAACAACAAAAAGACAGAACATCTCAAGCTAAAGAACCAGGGAGGTTGGTAGTGTGACTCAGTCCAAAACCGAAACTGCAGAAACAAAGATGCCAGTGATATAATTCTCAGTAAAGGCAAAGGTCCACCGGCCCAGGGAGCCACTGACATAAGCCCTGGAATTCCCAAAGTGTAGAACCTGGGATTTTCATATCCAAGGGTAGGAGATGAAGGAGATTACAGTTCCACCAGCCTACTGAACAGCACACACATCCACTGAGTACTGTCTCCTCCAAAACACACCTACAGACACCCCGGGGCCACACATCATCCAAAACACACCTACAGACACCCCGGGGCCACACATCAAAGCCAATGCCAAGCCACGTAGGCTTCTGAGGAGGAGGAGGAAGAACTTGGTGAGGCTGACACTGAGAACCACAGATGCCACCATGAGATGAAATTGTGCTTGCCCAGCTACCCAAGTGTCCCGTAATTCAGTCAACTGTCACACCTTTGGAAAGTCCAGGTTCTTGCTGGTCCTTGGAGAATAATTTCTCCATGACACAAGGAATAAGGGAAGGTCTCTGAGACTATGGATCCCCAGAGAATG